GAACTGTAATAGTTTACACCTGTTTCAACTTTTGCTGTTTTTATTGGCGGTGGCTTTTGCCATCCCATATTTCTTGTGAAGCAAAAATATGAAATAAAATATGGCAAAGCATTGGAGAAATTATAATAAACATAAAAAATGAATTGTTCAGCTTAAAATATGAAATGCTTTACCTGCATATCTAGCCAGCCACATTTTGGTGGTATCGAAGTGATTTATTCCTGGAGTTCTATATTATGAAAATAAGGACAATTGCTTTCATTGGCAGAAATAATCTAGGGTTTTTACATTCAAGTGCATAAACTTTGGAACATCAGGCAGAAGTCATTGTAAAGACAGTTTAAAAAAAAAAACAACCTGCTGAATCTTTGTGTGTGTTCATGTTACAGTGGAATAAAACAGACGAGGGAGTGAGACTGTGAATATTCAATAGAACTGTTTTATCATAGAGTAGAATCAGATTTCAGAGGTCAAGGAGTTTTCACAGACACTTACTTGTTCCCCCTCCAAATATAATGAAAAGGAAATGATTTTTTTTTTCAGTAGTTTAAAATGACAATAACTGTTTATTTCGCTCATTCATCTGAAATTTGGGCAGGGCTCTGTAGGGATTGGCTCATCTCTACATCATGTGGTGACAGCTGATGTTTCTTAGCTGGAACTGAAGGCTCTGCTTTCCAAGATGGCTCAATAACATGTTGGTTCTGGTTCTGGTATGAAAAGGAAATGAGTTGAGTCAATATATTCTATGTCATTTTTTTTTTTTTTTTTTTTTTTTTTGCAATCCAACTCTCAAATGGTCTCCCTAGAAGTGCCCTTTATTTTTCAGGTCTAACAGTAGCTGGCCAGCTCTGGTGTTGGGTTAGGAGTGAAATGACTAGCTTTTTAGTGCATTGTCCAGAATGAGAATAGCTAAATTAAATTTATAATAAGTTTAATTTGGATAGAGTTTTCACAGTCGTGAAAAGCTCTCTGGGAAAGTTCTCAGGAAGACTGAATTTTCATTTCGGCTTCATCTTACTAGTAGGTTGGTTTTGGGTATTATACAGGCCAGGGCTATGAGTTGAATGAGGGGTAGAGCCTTGCCTTTTCAATTCATTGGCATGGGACCTGAATATTTGTGGAATGAAAGAGTGAATTTCTTTTCTGGGTCTATAAAATATAAACATTTAAATGCTTATGTTGAGAAAATGTTCCTCAATGACCCCTCTCCTCCATCTCTCACTTTTTGGGAGTTTATATTTTGATGCTGAGGAATTTAGAGTAAGGTTGAGAATTAGACTTTCAAATTTGGGCTCAGAAGGATCCATGTTTGGGGGAAGAGAAGACTTTTGGTAAAATGTCACTCTCTCTTGATTGGCTTGTATGGCCTTGACAGTTTTGCATGCTTGGGGTCAGTAGAAGTCCTTCAGGAGACCCAGCAACCTGGGAATGAAATAAAAATGCTCCCTAGGAAGTGTTGATAACTAGGATTAACCATAGTCTGCACTTCAGACCATGATCTAGACAAGAACTCAACTGGGGTCTTCTACCAGGGCACTTCTTTCTGGGCTTGGGAAATGGACACATCAGAACTGAGTGAAAACTGGGCTCAGATTTAAAGTTTCTTATACAAAACTACTTGGAATATAAATTCTGGCTCCTTGCCTGCTGTTTTCCCTCAAATTAACAAGCTTGCTAAAAGTGCAGGTTTCTGGTTAAATTTTATTTTATTTTTTTCCCTGAAATATAGTTACTTATAGTTTGGGTCTTAGGAAATACTCTCCTTTTTATTCATCCAGAGATTGAAGGGCCATTCTGTGAAGTCTGTTTAGTGTTTGGATGGACTTGAAGTGGCCTTACCCAGTGTGACATAATGAGTTTGTCATGAGCAAAACAAGTCTCCTGGAGGAAGTTTCTGTAATCAATGTAATCGTATAATGGAATTTTAACAGATGAATTCTGAGTTGTGAAGGAGTTTCCTGTGATGAAAGGGGTGATTATCTATACTTTGCTTGGTTATCTATACTTTACTTTGCAAAGACATTTGAAAATGTCTTTGATTCTAAACATTTCTTTTCAAAGAAGTTTTCTTAATGTTCTTGGATTTTTTCAAATCTCTATGCCCTTACTGCTCCTTTCATTGCCAAGGGACTGTAGATGTCATCGAGTATGGCCCCTTTTAACTATTTTTAGCCTCAAACAAATATAGCCCAAGAGCTGGTTAAATGTCCCCAAGACACTTGTCATTAGGTTGGGCACTGCCCTGTTGTCTTGCCTTTGGCCCCTTTGGGTAGGACCAGTCACACTTATCAGTTTGCTTAGACATTTCTTCAACTCTACTTTTTTTTTTAGCTTTAATATTGATATATTTCCAAGTTGGACAGTAAAAATGATACTTTGTAAACTAAAAGAATCTATTTGTGGAAATATGTGATTCAAGTGGCCCACATAAATGTTGGTGCTCAGTTCATGCTATTGATGGTATGGGATTTGTGCAAAAAGTAAAGTTAAAAAGATACTGGCCTGGGAGGCTGAGGCGGGTGGATCGTTTTGAGCTCAGGAGTTCGAAACCAGCCTGAGCAAGAGCGAGACCCCGTCTCTACTATAAATAGAAAGAAATTAATTGGCCAGCTAATATATATAGAAAAAAATTAGCTGGGCATGGTGGCGCATGCCTGTAGTCCCAGCTACTCGGGAGGCTGAGGCAGCAGGATTGCTTGAGCCCAGGAGTTTGAGGTTGCTGTGAGCTAAGCTAACGCCAAGGCACTCACTCTAGCCTGGGCAACAAAGCGAGACTCTGTCTCAAAAAAAAAAAAGAAAAAGATACTGGCATTAGAGATTAGTTTCCTTTTGCTGCTGTGATAAATTGCCGCAGTGTAGTGTCTTAAAACAACATAAATTTATTATCTTACAATTCTGGAGGTTTAATGTCTGAAGTGGGTTTTACTGGGCTGGAATAAAGTTGTGAGCAGGGCTGTCCTTGCTGTAAGAGGTTGTCAGGAAGAATCCATTTATTTGACTTTTGCAGCTTCTAGAGGCCATCTACATTCCTTGGCTCATGGGCCCTTCTTCCACCTTCAAATCTTTCTCCTCTCTAATCTCTGCTTTGGGTGTCATGTGCCCTTTCCCCTCTCTCCTTCCATTGTCATATCACCTTGTACTCTGACCCTCCTGCTTCCCTCTTGTAAGGAAATAATTAATTGGGCCCAAGTGGATTATTCAGGATAATGTTCCCATCTCAAGATCCTTAACTTAATCACATCTGCAAAATCCCTTTTGCCACGAAAAATAACATATTCACAGGTTATAGGGATTAGGACATGAACATCTTTGGGGGTCATTATTCATCTCAATTATACATTGGAATACAATTTTTAAGTCTTTTTTTAGCCCCTGTTTTTATACATTTTCTCAGACTGTCCTTGGAAATTCCAGAAAAATGTTCTCTGTGTTCTATTCAGATAAAAATGTGTAGATAAACAAAATATATATACATTTCTACAGAAGTGGAGAAAGGTGTCTTATATTTAACTGTAAAATTTAAGTTGGTAAAAAAGAGTTTAAATTTTAACATTTGTTATTTCTTTGAGGGCAGAGGGAATTTGAGTTTTGAATCCTTCACCTAACAGAATGTCAAAGTTGTCGTAACAGGTGCTCGTCAAAACTTGCTAAGTGACAAATGTGATTCTTAAGTGATTCATCTGCCACACTTCTTGGGTCTTTAGTCATTTTACGAAGTGGTCTGGACACACATGCACATATACAACAAAAACTGCCCTGCTGTCGTCCTGCCCAGCAGGTGTGTGGTTTACTGTGGTATTCCAGACCAGTTTCTAGGAGTTCTTGCTTCAGCTGTTTTCTTTGTCCTGGCCAGGGGCTGGCTTCTCCAGCTAAGCGCTGTTCCACCCTATACCAGAATCAGAGCCCTATTTGGGCTATTGCATGCAAGATGCTATTTTTTTTTTTCTCATTTCTCCTTTTGATCAAATTTCCCATTGTTCACCACAAATAGAGTCATACACTTACGAACATTGTCAGAGAACTGGATTTGTCCTGTATTAATAAGATACCGTTTAGATATAAAAACGATGTTTAGATATGATGACCTTTTAATTAATCTCACATGAAATTCCCCCCCCCCCCAGAGACAGAATCTCAAGCTGTTGCCCCTGGGTAGAGTGCAGTGGCGTCCTCATAGCTCACTGCAGCCTTTAACTCCTGGGCTCAAGTGATTCTCTTGCCTCAGCCTCCCAGTTAGCTGGGACTAGAGGTGTACACCACCATGCCTGGCTAATTTTTCCACTTTTTGTAGAAATGGGGTCTCGCTATGTTGCCCAGGCTGCTCTTGAACTCCTGGCCTCAAGCATTCCTCCAACCTTGGCCTCCCAGAGTGTTAGGATTACAGGTGTGAGATACTGCACTGGCCTCACATGAAGTTTTATTGTTTTCTATGACCTTCATCATTACTATTGAGTTCTCATGTTTTTTTCTCTATCTTTGTATATGCAAATAAGGAACGAATTAAAGTAGTGTATTATGCTAATTGAAATCTAAGTAGATTATATAGTCATTGTAAAGCATAAAACTGAGATAGCTCCCAAGTAGGCCATATGGGATGAGCCACCTGTTAACAAGGCAAACCTCACACCTGGGATTTATTACACACAGGAAATGCTTAGAGCACTACAGCTGATGACTTTGATAGTTGCATTTGTTCATATAGTTTCTTAACTATGAAAGGACAAGATTACTTTCATCTAAGTGTGCAGAGATTTGTGAGTCTTTCAGACCAAGAAAAGGAGTATTACGTAATCTAAAGATGTGTAATTGATTGGATTAGTGTTCTCTTCTTTATCAACTTTGCACCTGGGTGAGGCATGGTAGCAGGCACTCATCTTTGGAAGAGCAAAGCCGGCATCTCATTCGCTTTTGTATTCTCATGCCTGATACTCGAAAGTATTTTGAATACATCCGTGGAAAAGAGAAACTATTTTAAATGTATACATTTTTATTTACAGCTGCTGCTGAAGGAAAAGGCAGAAGTGGGGAAGACTTTTTTCAAAAGGTAAGTTGCTTTTTTTTTTAACTCTTGCCTTGGTAATAAGAGGAAATTTGCCTCTCACCAGCGACAGTAGAAGCTCCTGAAAATTCCCCTTCTGTGTACGGGGAGGTTCCCCTTCTGTATAGGTTTCAATAAGAAAGTTGGAAACACTCAGCATGAGTGAGGAAAGGAAAGGATATTGTATGGGACTTAACCATTCTAAGCAGGTTCTTTCCGGGAAAAATCGAATGATGTTTTCGCTTGAAGGCAAAGAAACAGAAGGTAAGAAGGCTCAGAGGTGGATGCATTCATGGGACATTGATACTTGAAACATTTGGCTGGCACACATCATATGAAGGGCTCATAGTGCCAGGTGAGGTACACGATCCCATATGATGAAGTACCTTCCTTGTATGGGAGGGGTTCTTTTCTAAAGGGATTTAAATTTAAAAATGTGAAGATGGTGTGCTGGGCAGAATGTTCCAGAACACTAATTTCCACTCCTGTTTTAGGTTCAGGCTGTTGAAGTTTATGTACTATGCTTGAAGCCCCTCACTTGGCATTATCTGGTTAATATACAGCTTGTACTCAATACCGAGACATTTCAGAACGCCCTGCCTTTGGCTGGGGCAGGCTCACCAATAAGGGTAAAAAAAGAGTATACAAATAGCAGACATTGTAGATTTGCCTTGGGTTGGTTGTGCTGGTACAAATAGATGCTGTCCGTGAAAGAATAATTTTCCTTCATTGTTCTTCTGTAGCTCACAGATAGGTGTAAAAAGCAGACTGTTCACCTTTGCTTCAGACATTTTAAGAGCTGAGTCAAAACACAGTGTATATGGTCATAAAGGACTTCATTCTTAGGAAATTTGCTGATATTTATCACTCTTTGCACAGCCATGTATACATTCCAGCAGTTTAAATGGAAACACATGTTTGGAGGCAGGAAAATGTGTGCATCCCACAAACTGCGAGTTGGAATTGTAGATTCCGTTCTTGGTCACAGGTTAATAAGGTCTCTGAATAATTAAATGGGAGTAGTTTTTAATCTCTTCATTTTCTGCTTTAGTTCAGTTGAAAGTATCTTCTTGATAGACAAGTGTCCATATGAAGTTTGGACACGCATCCTGGAAAAAAACCCTGTAACTTAAAAGGCAAACATCCCACATTCCAGAAGAGTAATTTTTCAGTGTTTTGACTAGACAGAAGTAGACATGATGGTTCATCTATGGTAGAATGAAGTAATGGAGAAGTATTGAATTGTCCTCCAGGAACTTTGATCCAGTCACATGTATTCTAGTTCCACATAATGGCATTTTAGGAAACATTTGAGGATGAAAAAGAGGCCACATAGCTGCTTACTAGCATCTTTGGAGAAATATTTTCCTACTCCTAGAGTAATGTAAATACGATCTATATGCTTCTTATCGAAATGTTTTTTGCTTTTGACTCTGGGATGTGCATGACAAAATTAAAACCTCTCTTTAGCTGAGTTTAAACTTCAGATACTTTAATTAATTTAAAAATGTTTTCTGAGTATAGAAGGATACCTTCCTAGCTTCATCATGGCCCTCCCCAGGTGGGGATTGGGGTGTGAGCCTTTTATGTATTATTTTATGGTTTTTTTTGTACGATAAAAATATATGTAAAAATCATAATATTATTATGCTAACTAAATTTTACTAAATTTAATTAAAGTAATTATTCTCATTACAGTTTTTGAATTAGGAAATAATAAAACTAAATTTTAAAATATCTTGCAGAATAAGAATCGGTATAATTCCACTAAGAATTTAAATTTCAACTTAACCAGCAGTAAGATTGTCAAATATATTGTGTCAAATTTGAGTCTAATATATACTCTTCAGCTTACTATACATTTCTCTCCTTGAGTCAAAGTTACTGTTTTCTGAAGAGATCTACCCAATTTTGTATACACTGTTCCTGGATGTGGCATCTGTCTGTGGGAGAGAGCTTAGTTATGTGGCCTTCCCTAAAGCAATAATGAGGGGTGGGAGGGGCTGGGACAGTTGGAGAAGAATTTTGATTTTGTGAGCGTTATTCATCAAAAGCCAGATTGTTAGAGAAAAACAAGTATATGGTCAAAATGTAATATCTTTGTGTGGTATACTTTGAAACGTTTTGCATTCGTTTATTAGGGCTGCCATATCACAAACTGGGTGACTTTACTGTGAGCAATTTATTGTCTCAGGGTCCAGATCAGGGTGTCAGCAGGGTTGATTCCTTCTGAGAGCTGTGAGAGAGAATCTGTCCCATGCTTCTTTTCTAGCCTCTGATGGTTTACCGGGGTTCTTTGGTTCTCTGGGTGTCCTGACCTCTGCCTTCATCTTCATATAGTATATTCGTTTGTGTATCTCTGTGTCTAGATTTCTCCTTTTTATAAGGATAACAATCATATTTAGATTAGGGGCTCACCCTGCTCTTGTATGGCTTCATCTTATTACATCTGCAATGGACCCTATTTCCAAATAAGGTCACATTCTGAGGTCCAGGGGTTAAGACTTCAATATATGAATTTTGGGAAGACAGTTCAACCTATAACATCCTTTACTGGAGAAAATCCTATAGAAAAATTTACTGTAATTAGAAAAATGTACTAAAACTGTAAATGTTATCATATTACATTTTGATATTCAGTTTGATGATAGATTTTAACTGCCTAGTCATTTATACTAAATCTCTTTTTGTCTAGAATAAATATATAATTGACATGCAAAAAGAGAAAAAAATCTATAATCTTACCTTTGAAAGAGAACTATTTATGGTTAGTCTTTTTTCTGTGCATATTAAAAATGTATATAAAGTGATTTTTAATATTCCCTGGTTGATGGGATTACAAATTAAACTATGTATTTGCATTGGATAACATCCCAAATGTATTTTCTGTGTTGAAATTTTGCAAAGTTCTCCAGTAATTGTACTTTTTATTATTTGGCTTTAACTACACTTACAAAAGGTGGGAATGGATACAATTTTATCAGTATTCTCTCTAGTTCTTTGTCCGCTCCTAATGGCAACTCTGCCTAATTAAAACACATGGAAACGATCTTCCGGGTTTTTTATGGTTCTTTGGGCAGTTGTTCATGGCTTACTCACCGTCTGTCCTGTTTCCTTTTAATCAGTTCTTTTTTTCTTATGAAATGACTATGGCCAGATCTTGGAGGGGAAAATGTGTTACAGTATGCTAGGTGTGGGAGGGGTACAGTGATTGTATTACAAATGTGACTCATCAAAGCAAAATGTCTTAGAAGAATCTGTAATCCTAGTTACTGAAGAGGACCCAATTCAGTCATCGTCATGATTGGTGGAAGCCAAGTTTTCCATTGCATTGGGGTTATGTACAGTATTTCTCTCTAATGCACATCATATATGCAGGGATTTCAAATGTAGGGATATTTTACACTCTTAAAATAATTTTTGGATATTTCTTTGGAAAACTGACCTTATAAACTGGCTTGTCCTAAGGGCTAACAGTAAGACTGACATAAATGAGATACTGTTGGGTGGCTCATGTGGTATATTTTTATCACCCTTAAATGCATCCTTTTTAGGCAAAAAAAATTACTTTTGGTATTTTGAGACTGGAAAGTAGCAAGTAGTGTCTTTTGGGGAAAATTTCTGGGAGGAATATTTGGCTACCTCTGTAGCTCAAAATGAGTGCATTAAGTGGTCTGAGATGGGGACTAAAAGGATCTTTTTATTGGGGGGGCAGTAGAGATGATAAAATTGCTTCTACTTTCTTCAATAGCTGTTGTTTTTATATTTTGAATGGATCTTGTTCCTCTAGTAATAGAAATAAGTTTTGGTTTAATTATTTAAAAGCAAATTCAATTAACTATGGTCCATAAATGTACTTTTTCTAACACTAAGTCTTTACACTTAAACGTAACAAATAGAATTTGATTTATTAATAAGTAAGATCAGGATATTTTAAAGTTTTAATTTTAGCATTTTAATGGGCAGTATGTTTACCTGGTTCACAGTTCAAATTTATAAAAGGATATACAGTGAAGAGTTTCCAATGTCACAGTGGTTTATGAAGGTTCACTGAGAAGGCTGTGTAGCATTACAGTGTTGGTCCCAAACTTGAGTAAAGATTATCATCCACGAATGTCATTACTAATGGACACTTAGGACTTAAAGCTAACATTCAGGCATACTGAGTTCTTATTATTGATCATGATGCTATTGTCTTGAGAACGTTTCAGCGAGAGAATCTGTGATCGTGGTTCTCTTTGTACTATTGTATGAATAGAAATAACTGGCCACTTAAAAGACTTAGAAAACAGGAATAACCCCCATCCGGAAAAGGTTGTATGAGCATCCTTTAGGCAGTTGTTAAATTAGTTTGCTTATCATCCATTCTTCTAGTCTTCTGAGTTGTGTTCTTGTGTTCATTTGGACACAGGAAGCCTGTGTGTTGAATCCACATTCTCTTAGCATGTAGAGTCACCTGCATCGAGTTGCATTGTAATGGTATGTTCTTGCCGTATGTTTTGACAGTCATTTCACACAAACGCTTTATGAAAACCACATTTCCTATTTTAATCCTTTCTGGGACTTTGGAAGCAGGAATGTCGCTGAGATTCTTTCAAAGTGTATGTTTTAATGATAGCAAATGTAACCTAATTGCTAGTACAATTTTTTCAAGTGAATAATGATCTTAAATCAATGTGTGATGAAAGTTTAGTTGTTACTGACGAAAACGATTTCTTGAAACCAAACTCAAAGCATTGGATTGTGTGGAAAATCAAACTGCATTTGTGAAAGCAGGTCTTTAAAAAAGTGTCACAAGGTGGGACTCTGTATTTCAGACTTGCAGTGCAAGTGACGATGGAAAGGCCAAGTTAAGGGATTTATTGGTGTTAGTCTAAAAAGGTTTGTATGTTATTTTATAAAATGCTCTCCCTGTAATAGATTAAATGCCTACCTTAATTCTTGTAGTTGTCAGCATTTCCCTTAATTGAAAGATCTTGACATGTAAACTTCCTTATTTATGGTTG